GAAAAATAGGAAGGGGAGTGACAGGTGAGGCCCTCTCTATGATACAATGCGAGTCGGCTAGCTCACGAGTGGCCCGAGGGGTGTATGCCTCCGAGTGTGAGGCGGGGTGTTGGCCTCGCGGAACCACTAACTGAAGCATAATGCAGAGAAAAAAGGGGTAATACCTATTGGGCCCTAGAACCCTAATTGCCGGTACACTATTACTATTCCAGGGAAGGTAAGAGATGGATAACTACGTGAGCAGGTGTACGTACCTGGTAGTATGGTATTGAACCTGACAATCCGTATAGGTTTTTTAGTAGTAACTGTAACCTGAATGGATAAAATCGTATGGCATAAGGAAATATGGCATAGACCAAGCTTATCTTAAAACATACAGTATATGTGAAAGTAAAGTGCGTGATATGTAAATATTAAACATCATATCCATACTGGTTAAATATGTATCAATCTTAACCCATTAAGTGCCGTATGTATGTGAACCATATTACCAGTTACGTATATACAGATGCGTGTGCTACTGTGTAATAATATGTGTATTTATAACAGATATTGATATACTGCTTGCTATGTGAATTGTTGTATGCCTTATTGAATGGCAAGTGAACATGGAGTTGCAAAATGCAAGTGCACTGGAGATCTGCCGAGTGCCCTATAGGTGGCAGTGTAGTTGATACTGATTGGTATGTGAAATGTTGTTTGTCTGTTGACCTATAGGGGTCAGTGTTTTGGTGTTTGTAAAACCCCATGAAAATTGTCAATGTACTTGACAGACCTGTAGGTGGCAGTGTTGATAGAACCACTGTTAGTCTTAATGTGAAATGTAAATTATTGTGAATTAAACCTGAAGTTGAGCCCGTGTTGGAGTTTAATTCATGGTTTATGGTTATGTTTAAAACAATCTTATGTGTAATTTATATTGGCTGGTAATTGTATATGACATGTGAAGACAGTTTTGCTGTTGACCAGTAGGGGTCAGAAATGCTGATTGTATGGTAAAATACCCTTTAACCCCTGAAGGATACATGACATGTGTGACATATCATTTATTCCAGAGTTTGGTCCTTAAGGGGTTAATCCAAATGCAAGGTTAACGTGAGATTTTGAGAGTGACCTGTAGGGGTCAGTGTGGTTTATGTGAAACATTGTTTGTGAGCTATGCCCCAGCATTATAGTTGTGAAACAAACAGTGCCCGTTTGACAATATACAATAAGTGAACATAATAGCTTAATAACAATCATTGTAACAAACCAAAGTTCTGTTCACGGGTTGTAAACACACGAAACGTGTGTGTAGTACAATAGTAAATGCATGAACTAGTACCCGTTTGGTAGAAAATTGCACGAACCGTGAGCCTGGTATGTCAGGGAAACAAAACGAAACGAGCAGTGAGATTCGAAATGCACGCACAGAATTGCCTAGTATGTTTAGGCAATTGAAACAGAATGTGTTCCCTTTGGGAGTATGCTAATGCTCGAAATGAGCCAGTGACAGATATAAACAAGTGAGTTTAAACGAATGATATGCATGAACATGCAATGGTTTTAGGACAGATTTAGACCAAATGCAGCCGTAAAGTGAGGACCTGACCCGTGCATGGTGCCGTGGGACTGATGCCTGGCGTAACGGGTAGGTCGACTTACGGTTTGTGAGTCACTTGGACACCATCCACAGCAATAGATTGAAGAAAGAAGGTGGTAGGCCGGAAAAGCCTGTGGCTGAATTCCTGACACAGCTCAGCTTAGAAAACCTCATGGAGTAATCAGGTAAAATGGCGTCTGGATGACCCGGAAGTGGAAATCATTCTGATGCTGACCTCAAGCGATATGAGTCAGGTAAGGGGTGTCCCTTATATAGGGGAGTGAATTAATTTAAGCCCCTCCCACAAATACAGGCCAAATGGCCTTAAAACATATATATATATATATATAGAGAGAGATATAGAGATATAGAGATATATAGAGATAGATTATATTTAAACATATTAAAGGACCACTCTAGGCACCCAGACCACTTCAGCTTAATGAAGTGGTCTGGGTGCCAGGTCCTTCTAGGGCTAACCCATTTTTTTATAAACATAGCAGTTTCAGAGAAACTGCTATGTTTATTAATGGGTTAAGCCTTCCCCCTAATCCTCTAGTGGCTGTCTCATTGACAGCCACTAGAGGCGCTTGCGTGCTTCTCACCGTGATTTTCACAGTGAGAGCACGCCAGCGCCGGGCAGTTACTGTAAATGCTTCCTATCGGGCTGAATGCGCGACGCAGCTCTTGCCGCTGCAAGGACGCAGCCCAGGAGGAGGATCGGAGGAGGAGAGGGAGGAGAGCTCCCTCGCCCAGCTTGGAAAAAGGTAAGTTTTAACCCCTTTCCCCTTTCCAGAGCCGGGCGGGAGGGGGTCCCTGAGGGTGGGGGCACCCTCAGGGCACTATAGTGCCAGGAAAACGAGTATGTTTTCCTGGCACTATAGTGGTCCTTTAATGTACATTTATATATGCATAATACACAGAGAAATTTCATTAATATGTACCATATGTAATGAGCAGATATTGGCCCAATCTTGTTGCTAGGTGCATACTCAAGCACAATAACATATTTAAAGTGAAGAGCACACCCACAGGACTTCAAAATAAAAAATTTTTACAGTTGTGCCCTACATACATTCACCATTTCAGTCCCATTAACAAGCTTTCCTTAATATGTCAAGGTAGTTGGACTGAAACATTGATTACATGCAAAGGCACGTCTGCTTAAAATAAATCTGCACTTTTGTTTATTTTGAAGCCTATGAGTGCGCTTTTTACGTTGAAGTACTTTTAAATTTTATGTTATCTGTTCTAACTCTGTATCTGCACACTATGCTGGCGCGACGCATTATGGGGCTGGTAAATATTTTTTTTCCAGGGCTGCTTTTAATTCCCAGTCCGGCCCTAAAGGGGGGCGCCGGCAGGCGCTTTACTGCTTTGCTTGTTTGGCCTCTTTGTTGTAATAGTTCTACAAATCGTGCCGCCGTCCATGTTACCGGGCGCTTGGGACACTTACATGTCTGCTGACTAGCTCCCGGTGAAACACTGTTCTGGCGGCATCCACTTCAGCCAGGACCCCCAGAAGCACTCCCATTGCTGCGAGGGCGCTTCAATTCAATTCTGTACGTGGGGACAAGTGGGCGGGAGCATAGCAGGGGCGGGGCTGACACGCAGTGAAGGCGGCCAGGAACACGTGACAAGCAGTCAAATATTAAGAAAGGTAAGTGGGTCAATAGTGAATGTGTATTTGTGAAGAATTTGTGTATGTCAGTCTGTATGCGTCAGCTAGTTTCTGCATGAGACAGTGTGTGTGCATGTGCGTCAGTCTGCATGGGTCAGTGTATGTCAGTCTGCATGAGTGGGTGGAGCAAATGGGGCGGCAAATTTTTTTTTGCCTAGGGCGGCAAAAATCCTTGCACCGGCCCTGCTCTTCGGTAAATCCAAGCTCAGTATATAATTGTATCCACTGTTAGGATTTGTTAAGGCTAGAAGGAAATGTGTAATCTCTATTTTAGTGAGGGCTAGGCTGTGGGTGACCTTGGACCCTTATTGAGTGTTAAACTACTCGAAAATAATTTAACACTGAATGAAGGACAGTGGTGCCTGGGGACTACAAGCACTATTACCAGTTCAATAAGATAAAGCGACACTGCAGGAACTATAACCATTTTAAGTCCAAAGTAGCTGTACTGAAAGCAAAGTTGACCTAAAGAATGTATCCAGTTTGGCTACTTTGGCCATAAATTTTAAATTCACTTTGAATTAAAGGGACACTATAGTCACCCAGACCACTTCAGCTCAATGAAGTGGTCTGGGTGCCAGGTCCCTCTAGGGTTAACCCTGCCTGCTGTAAACATAGCAGTTTCAGAGAAACTGCTATGTTTACATTAGGGGTTAATCCAGCCTCTAGTGGCTGTCTTCTGGACAGCCACTAGAGGCGCATCTGCGACGCTTGATGCGAATTTCGCATCTATCGCACAGAGCGTCCATAGGAAGGCATTGAGAAATGCTTTCCTATGGACACTTTGAATCAGCTCCACTGACATCGGACGGGGGGGCTGACGCTGGCGGGGGAGGAGAGGTCACCAGCGCCGAGGGAGCCCGGCGCTGGATTAAAGTAAGTAACTGAAGGGGTTTTAACCCCTTCAGCGCCACGGGAGGGGACCCTGAGGTTGGGGGCACCCTCAGGGCACTATAGTGTCAGGAAAACCGCTTTGTTTTCCTGACACTATAGTGATCCTTTAACTTCCCTATAATTCTTACTTTTGTAAATAACCCAGTAAGTAACCATCATTTTGCAGTTTTTTTACTGCACTTACGAACAACGCATTGAAAAAAAAAAGTGGGGTACATTTTTACCTAACTCAAACTCTTACTTAGAAAACATAAGGGTAACAAACTGGATTTTACAAACAGACTATCACTCAGTGCACCATTTGCCTTTGGTGTGGAGAGAGGTGGGGGGGTTAGTACTATTTATACAGCCCATACCAAATTAATCCTGCATGAACATGTTGATTATTTTATGGAGAGCCTCAGAATGTACTAAAAAGGAAATCTATTCCCTGCGGAACCATGGGAAAATTACATTCCGATTCACAAGATCTCAGAAAAATGTCAATCAATTCTATCAAGATCTAAAAAATATCCTAGTATGTTCCCAACAGCTAAAGACTTGTGTTTCTTTATTCCAGGTCCTGACTTCACTCCACTGAACACTATGTTATGTGCCAGGTGATTTGTGGATTTACAATACTAACCTGCAATAAAAAGTACTTATTTCCAGGGGCCTCTTCTAAGCTTATATGAAATATTACAAGGACCTAAGAGACAAGCCATTGCAGCTTTTATATGAAGCTTTTACATGAAACTACGGTATTCTTTAAGCTTTCTTGTACTGAAATAAAATCTTCTTTTAAAATACTTTTATTAGTCTGTAAAACAAATATACGATATATATATCCAAAATAGATGGCTGTTCACCGGTCTTAAAATACAAATGCTTTATTGAATAAAATTAAAAAACGACCATGACTTGGTCGTTTTTAATTTTATTCAATAAAGCATTTGTATTTTAAGACCGATGAGCCGCCATCTATTTTGGATTTGTATGATTGGAGCCCAGGCTATTACTTGCACCCGGCAGTGAAAGAGTTAATGTGTGAGTGCAGGGGATTTATAATATATAATATATATATATATATATATATATATATATTTAAAAAAAATTATTCTAGGAATATCTATATTTTGTATGTCCATTTAAGAATGACTACACCATTGCAAGGCCAATATTGTGTTTAAGGAACCAACGAAGCAACCAGCTAATAGTTAAACCAATGCAATGATGTTGATTACACCTCAAATTGAGAAAGTGACCACTTCAACAAATAATTCACAAAACACATCTGTTGTGTTCAACTGCATCACAACAGCCTTGTGTAAAAATAAGGATTATGCAAAAACTCCTCATTGAGACATCTGCATATGCAACATTGTATCAATTATAAAATTTAATCAAACAAAATAGTCACATTTTGTTATTAAAAAGTTGCAGTTGAAGACAGAATATTTATCTTCCACCAATGTAACAGATTCAGTGAATGAATCTCTTCTAACAGAGAACCTAGTCCAATTTATGACCTTTAAACACACTTTAAAATGAATTCCGTTGACACATAGGTGCTGAACACACGCTGCATGATCACCTTGTCTAACACGTGGAAATCTTTCATTCGGATATTAAGAAGAAAGATGTATTTACTTTGATTTAAAGGGATACTATAGTCACCCAGACCACTTCAGCTCAATGAAGTGGTCTGGGTGCCAGGTCCCTCAGGTTTTAACCCTTCAGATGCAAACAAAGCAGTTTCAGAGAAACTGCTATGTTTACATTTGGGGTTAATCCAGCCTCTAGTGGCTGTCTTCCGGACAGCCACTAGAGGCACATCTGCGACGCTGGAGGCATATTATGCCTCCATCGCGCAGAGCATCCATAGGAAAGCATTGAGAAATGCTTTCCTATGGACACTTTGAATGCGCGCGCGGCTCCGCTGACGTCACCAGCGCCGGGAATAAGGTAAGCTGCTGAAGGGGTTTTAACCCCTTCAGCGCCACGGGAGGGGGACACCCTCAGGGCACTATAGTGTCAGGAAAACCGCTTTGTTTTCCTGACACTATAGTGATCCTTTAATATACCACAGGAGAAAAGAAAAAAAAAAAAACGCGCGCACACACACACACACTATGCTCAACTGTTCATTTAACACAAACAATTATCATTGGATGCCAAAATTTCTTCTATAAATTTTAGCAGACACAATAGAGGTAAACAGTTCACCTTGCAATTTAACAAGGCCATTTTACTTTGCTTAACAGCCTAGATTTGTGGCAAGGGTACTCAAGCTCAAGTGAAAATATTATTTTGCCGTAATGCATGTCTATCCTTGTTAAACGCGTGCTGACAGAGTTGATATTTCATGGCATATGCTGAGTAATGAGAATATCAACATTCAGTTCAGGTATGAAATGAGTGGACTTTCTCCACAAAGAGTCCTCCTGCTGGAAAAGGTTAATGGGAACTGTGAGGGATTTCCCTAATGGGTACATTAAGTGAAATGGTTCTCTGTAGATGTGAGTTGGTTATTATCTATGTGACTTCATTTAGCATAAATGACATCCTTTGCTACAGGCACCTGCACACATATCAGCCTTGCATGGCCTAGAATGATGTTACTGCAGCATTTTAATGAGAGAAAAGAGCAATTTTATCTGACTTGCTTACGGGTATGTCTAAAAGGTAGATTTATCCTCTATTTATACACAGTCATCCTTGCACTGTATCTGGCAAATGTATAATACCATCCGAAAAAGTTGGAAAATAATATTTTGACAGGCATAATCTTAATGCGGATGTTGAAATGAAAGGCTTCAAAACAACAACAAAAGAAAAACATAACAAAACGGGAAAAAGGCTTGATAACTTAAATAATCTGATTAATCATCTATTAATTAGTGCTCTTGTCTCCAAATTATAACCAACAGTAAACCTATAGTACATATAAATAACTTGGCCCAAATGGCATTCAACATACAGAAACCATTCATCCAATAAGGGGTACTATCAGAGTCAGCCCTAGGTGTGTGCGATATAGAAATAGAAATAAAAACAAACAATATAATAGACACCACCTCTAATATCATCAACACACCAGTTCAACTCCCAAATCACCGTATTAAACATATAATGGTGTTGTGTACATAGCATGCAATAAAAATTAGTAATCCTCTATTGTTATTGTAGTGAGGAAACACTTTAAGCTTACATGAATAAGCAGTCTTCAGTGTTATATAAATCCAATGAGGATATGACGGATGTCAGCAGAAATTATTCTTCTGTAAACTTGATTCACTTATAAATCATGAAGACAAACATAGTGTAAAATCATTTACCATGGGTATAAAGAATATAATAATCAAAGCACTCACAAACACACAGCCACCAAAGTGACTAAGGAAGTACATAAATAGGTCCCGAAGACCAACTTATATGGTGAGGGTAATGTCCCAGAGGTTCCTCTCCAACCTGCTTCAGGTCCAGTTCCTTGCAGAAACTTTAGTTTCTCCCTGGTGTGTTCCCAAACCGAAATTCAGGAGCTCAGTGTCCGACCGGTTTCGTCAGCTGCTCCAATGAACCAGGACACATCTCCGGTGACCACCACAGTTCTGAAGGAACTTCTGGCAGACTTACAGAGGAAAATGCTCACTGACATCAGAGCAGACCTACAAGGCCTGAGAGGCCGGATTGGGGATCTTGAGACTACCTCCAACACCACCACACAACAGATAGCCACGCTTCAGCAGCAAGTGAAAAAGCTGCATCATCAGCAGGAATCTTTTTACTGGCGTCTTGCGATGCTGGAAGATCTCGGACGTAGAAATAATATGAAAATAAGAGGCATATAAGAGAACATTCCTGTGGTAGAAATAGCTCACCTCTTGCGGCGCCTAATGATGGCCCTACTTCCCCCAAAGCAGGCAAAAACGGAGGGGCTAGACGGCCACTTCAGGGTACCAAACTCACCAAGAGCTCCGACAGAGGTACCAAAAGACCTTGTGGTGCAATTTCAACACAACAGAGACAAAGAAAGCGGCAAAGATGGCTGCAGTGAAGAGAAGCTCGCCCTACAACTTTGAGACAATGATATGATATCTCTAAACTGGTATATCAGGAGACAGGCTGGCATGGAGATGCACCCTCCAACCATTTACCTCCCTCCTTCAGAAAAACGGAATCCAAAACCGCTAGAACATATCCCGCACACGCCAGGTACTCCAATACGACGACAAGCACATGGTCGCATATCTACGAGAGGTAGCAGCACTACTACCAGCTTTGGGACTTTTCCGGGATTCTATGTCACACACTGGGCCACAGGCCTCAGCGAAAATGTAACAGAGATGGAATCCAGAGACAGTACCTGAGTTTGACAGCGACAAGATCACAACATGAACAGCTCTGCGTATAATGTCTAGTTTAAATTGTTTAAGTTTATTGTTTTCCTAATTGACTCACACAACGTTTAGTACAAATTACACACGGTTTTTCAGCTCGGACGGCCTAAACCCCTCCTACCCACCGCCTACTAGACACCCTTAGCTGATATTCCCCTGGGCTACGGATAACTAGGTGTAAACTAAAAAATTAAAAAAAAAAAAAAAAAAAGAGAATTTAAATGCTTAGGAGAAAAGAGAAGGGTGTTAAAATTGGACCATTTGATGTTTACATAGTAAGTAGCAATAAAACAGATGATTAGAAAAGGAATTAGCACTAGATAAAACGTAAGGCATATTAAAATAAATAGTATATAACATAATTTGGTCAAACAGTTTAAATGGAATAAATACATTAATAAGACATAAGACATCTTGAGATATATGCTAATAATCACCTTAAAAGTAAATGATAGGATATAATTTACACTGAATGACTTAAAAGGGATAAACACAAATATACATATTAGACATCTCAAAGTATGTGGTGTACAACACCTATGGTGGTATCTTCTATAGCTTATGTCTCAATCTGTGTGATTTTACTTTCTTACTTGAACTGGTAAATAAAAAATAGATCATTAAAAAATAAAATATATGGATTTTTTTTTTTTTTTTTTAAAGAACTATAAATGTTATACTCTCTTAAAAATGACAAACTTCAAAATCTGAATTAAAGCCATGCGGAATTAATGTTTTCAAGTTGAATATAAACTTCATTTCTTCTCTGCCTAGTTTTTTCACAGAATTTCCTCCTCTCTAGTTCTTTGTTACCTCTTTCATTGCACAAAAGAGCAGGCCTTCTGGGTTCTGATTGAGTATTTGTTTAAAATGAAGGGGAACACTGTGTTTCTACCCTTTTTTTTAATATTCCTGACATGTTCAGCAATTCTGAGCGGTCTTATAGTTCTACCTACATACAGTAGGTTGCATGGACATCTCAGGATATATATGACCCCTTTGGAGTGGCACGTTAGGTGATCTTTTATAATATATGGTTGTTTAGTGATATTACTTATATCTACTAAATGTCTAAGGCTTTTAGTTTCCCCAGATGGGAGACAGGAGCCACATCAAAAAGAATCCTGTGAGGTTCTATAAAAAACGGTCGTTTTTTTTGTACTTAAACAACTCTTAACTAAGATATTTGTAAAATTATTTGCTCCCCTGTATGTGATTTTTGGTGCAGGGGGTAAGATTTTATTTAAAATAGTGTCGTCTCTTAGTAAATGGGAATGCTCCTTGATTGCTTGGTGTAATTGTCTATTTCGTCCATTGTAGTTGCAGATAAAAGGTACTTCTCCTGTTTTGAGAGATTCTTTCTTTTATTTATTTATACTTTAGGAGGTTCCCAGTGGTGGTTTCCCTACTTCTATCAAATCCCTCTCTAATGCGGTTTCTTCATACCCTTGTTCTACAAATTGTTTTTTCAGGCAGCCTGCTTGCTCTACATAATCTGAATCCTCCATGCAATTTCATCGAATTCTAAGGAATTATCCCCTGGGGGCATTGGTGAGCCATGGTTTGTGGTGGCA